GGGCCTCTACCATGTCTCAACATCAGCCCAACTGTCTTTCGTCCCTTTCTCCCTTTTACTGTTTCCTGATTCTATTCCTTTCAGCCCCAACCTGTTGCAAAAGCAAAATTCTTAGGAGGAATTCTCTCTTTGGAGAGCCCTTCTCTTTATTCTAACCCTTGGAAACTTCTACCTCTTCAGGGACACGGCTGGCCAAGAGCGATTCAAGACCATAACTACTGCCTATTACCGTGGAGCCATGGTACAGAGTCTGGATAAGGGATGAGGGCATGGGGCAGCAGAATGTAGGTTTGACTACAGAGGGGCAGGGAACAATGGAAGGGCACAGTGTGGGTTGCAGAGGGCCCCACATGGTCTGGTGTTTAGATCTCTGGATGGGCCTTGCAGGGCACTTAGAGGGCGTGGAAGGAGAAGCCTAAACAGGGCAACATGGTCCCAGGCTCCATGGTGAACTCTACCATCCCCCAGGGCATTATCCTAGTGTACGACATCACAGATGAGAAATCCTTCGAGAATATTCAGAACTGGATGAAGAGCATCAAAGAGGTGAGAACCCACCTACAGAGATGGGCTTTGCGAAGGGAACTGGGTAGAACCTGGAGGAGGAAGAGGGGGTGGTGTGAGCATGAGCAGGACCCAGCTTTTACTCACCTTACTCTTTTGCCCCCAGAATGCCTCGGCGGGGGTGGAGCGCCTCTTGCTGGGGAATAAGTGTGACATGGAAGCCAAGAGGAAGGTGCAGAAGGAGCAGGGCGATAAGGTGGGGGCCAGGTGGGCGATGATCTAAAGGTGGGCTGGAAGGGCCGGGAGGAGCTCAGATTGCAGAGGCATTGGCTGCTGCCCTTTGTCCCGCTTCACACCACCTTCCCACAGTTGGCGCGGGAGCACGGAATCAGGTTTTTCGAGACAAGTGCCAAATCCAGCGTGAATGTGGATGAGGTGAGGCCCCAGCAGAGGTGGAGTACTGGAGAATAGGGTTCTCTTCCCGCCAATCTGTGCTGACTGGTCTCCTCTTTCACCCTGTCAGGCCTTCAGTACCCTGGCCCGGGACATCTTGCTCAAGTCCGGAGGCCGGAGATCGGTGAGTTGCTTCTGCTGTGCCAAGTACGTGCACGCGTGTGCATGCGTGCGTCTGTGTGTGGGGAGGTAAAAACTGAGGAGGGGAGCAATGTTGAGACTTCCCATGAGGGTGGGTCCCCTTCAGACAGCTTATAGCCTCTTTCCACGGCCAGCCATTTACACCCTGATCCCCCTCTGCCCTTCTCCCTCCAGGGAAACAGCAACAAGCCCCCCAGCACTGACCTGAAATCATGGGACAGGAAGAACACCAACAAGTGCTCCCTGGGCTGAGGCCCCTGCCCGCCTCCCCACCCTGAGCCTGGAGGCTGGACCTGAGGAAAGCAGGGCTGAGGGGCTGGGCGGGGGAGACACAGCTGATGGGCTTGGAGGGGTAAAGGGGTAGATGGCAGGGAGAATGAGGGGAAAATGGAGAAGACAAAAAGGAAGGGGAGAGAAGAAAGGAAGGAAAAGAGGTAGAATACAGAGAAGGAAAAGCAGGACAAAAGGAGGGAAGAATGAGGGAGTGAAGGAAGGTGAGAAGTAGGGTAGGAAGAGAGGGAGGAGGGAAGGCTAGATGGCTCCAGACAGACCACCCTGGGTTTCCAGGGCAAACCTAAATGTAAATATATTGATTTACTGTGACTGATCAGGTTTTAGGGTCTGGTGAGTGGCTGGCTCTGCACCACCCTTAGAAGGTTTGGTCCTATCCTGTCACTCTGCATGGTCTTTCTCAGTATTAAAGGCCACTAATTACACAGTGTCCCTGGTTTGGATAACTTTCATTACTGTCCCAATCGCTTTCCACTTCCTGTCTCTCTGAAGTGGTTGGTCGGCTTGAATCTGACTGGGTGCACTTGGCATCAGAGCTAGTCCTACAACTGTCCCTTCCCCAGCTGTTTAATTGATGGAGAAAACAGAAAGGAGGAGGAAGAGGGGCTGAAGGTCTGGACATCCTCTTTCCACTATGGGGTCCAGGGGACCCTATGGGTGGAGCCTTGTCCTCAGCCCAGGAGATTCCGAGAGGAGAAGGAATCTTCTGTGGGCTTCCCCAGGGGAGTAACAGCCCTAACATCAGGGAAATAACAAGGCCTAGTATTGTTTACCCAGAGATTCCTGCAGGCTCCTTCGGTTCTGCCAACAATCCCTTTAGGTAGCTGCTAGGCATTATTATCTGCGTTTATTGATGAGAAAAATGAGACACGGGAGAGGTCTGTTGGTTCATTAAATATTTACTGAGCGTCCACTATGTACCAGGCACAATGGCAGGTCAACATAACCTTTGGGTGGTACTTGGAAGCAGAGGGACAAGCACATTTATCAAAAACAGCTCTTAACTACTGAATAACAAAGATGGCGAAAGTGTTGGCATGTAAAAGAACACCAACCAACAAACGCAGGCGCAGCCGACACAGAAGCTGCTTAAGTACAAACAGACCTTTCTCACCTTTACACAGCAGTTTTTTTTATTGTGGTACATATGTATGTAACAAATTGTTTGCCTTTTCAGTATTCTTCACACGTACAATTCAGTGACATTAGTTTTATCACATTCAACCATCACCATTATCCACTTCTAAATATTCCCATCACCCTTAACAGAAGCTTAATGGACCCTAAGCGGTAAGTCCCCCTTTCCCCCTCCCTCCTGTCTGCCCCTAGTCACTACACAGTATTTTTTAAGCAGCAAAATTATCTCACGGACTTATGTTTTATCAGGATCATTTTACCCATTTCCCCCCATGATGCTTCAGATCAATGAAAATGTCAGATTTGGTTTAGACAAAATGCACCATAAGAAGTTTTATTCATGGATATAATGTTCAAGGCATTTAAGTAATCCCCAGCCCTGTAGCAGTAGAAGTGGATGTAGAAGTGGACGGCACAACCCCATAGTCTGCAGCAAAGTCTTGTGTTGCTGTTTCAGTTGATAGAAGACAACACCCAGACAGACAGTGCTGGGAGAAGGACTTGCAGATATTTTGATAAATGTATTAAGTGTCCAACTGGTTTCATTTGCTAAAGAGATGATGAAAGACTTGCATTTTGTGATCTCAGGAAGCAGACTGACTGGCCTTCTCATTATACCCCAGAGCAGCTACTTTAAAATCCAGTTTTAGAGTAGAGACTCCATTCAGTTGCTTTAGGCTACTGGAAGTGAGATCTTAGATCTCATGCTTGTCATGAGACAAGGCAGGATTTGGTAAGGAGTAACAGAATACTGGAGTTCCTGGGTGGTGCAAATGGTTAAGCTTTCAACTACTAACTGAAAGGCTGGCAGTTCCAGCCCACCCAGAGATGCCTCGGAAGAAAGGCCTGGCCATTTGTTTCCCAAAGGTCACAGCCTTGAAAACCCTATCCAGCAGTTGTACTCTGTACACATGGAGTTACCATGAGTTGGAATCAGCTCAATGGCAACTGATCGTTGAACATAAAATACTAGCAGATTTCAGCCAAAGACTTTATTATAGCTAAAAACTACTGGAAATAATGCACAATCTACTTTCTGTGACATAAAAGTATTGACCCAGACAAATAATAAAAACTTAAAGGAACAAGCAAATAGTTGCAAGTAAAATTAAAACTCAGCCTCATGACATTTATTTTTAACTCCCACCTAACGGTCTTTCCACAGTCTGATAGTTCCTGCTTTTGAGAAGCCAGCTTCAGTCTGGTGGGGGGACAGAATTTATAGGCCATACCACCAGATATACTGTTAATCCCAAAATTACGTGCTCCAGCCTCTAGGGCTGCAGGGGAGAGGGACAGCAGTGGTCTTCAGGCTAGAAAGACTTCTTAGCCAGAAAACCAGTTGCTGTCGAGTTGATTCTGACTCATGGAGACCCCATGTGTGTCAGAATAGAACTGTGCTCCATAGGGTTTTCAATGGCTTAGTTTTCAGGAGTAGATTGCCAGGACTTTCTTCTAAGGCACCTCTGAGTTGACTCAAACTTCCAACCTTTTGGCTAGCAGCTGAGCATGATAACAGTTTGTACCATTCCTAGGGGAGGAGAATGTGGAGCAGGATTAACAAGAAGAAAAAATTACTAGAACAAGCCCCTTGATCTTGAGAGATGGGGTCCAAATTATTATTATTTTTTTACTGTACTTTAGATGAAGGTTTACAGAGCAAACTAGCTTCTCATTAAACAATTAATATACATATAGTTTTGTGACATTGGTTGCCAACCCCACAACACGTCAACACTCTTCCCCTTCTCGACCTTAGGTTCCCCATTACCAGCTTTCCTATCCTCTCCTGCCTTCTCGTCCTTGCCCCTGGGCTGGTGTAGGCATTTAGTCTTGTTTTGTTGTATGGGCCTCTCTAATCTATGGCTGAAGGGTGAACTTCAGGAGTGACCTCAGTACTGAGCTATAAGGGTGTCCGGGGGCCATACTCTCAGGATTTCTCCAGTCTCTGTCAGACCAGTAAGTCTG